ATTATATAAATCTACCTTTCCTTTTATTGAAAATATTTTAGTTAATTTAAGTATTTGAGTACTTACGGCAGCAAACTGGTTGTCATTAAGTCCAGGGGCGGCATTTTGGATACAATTCTGGAACTCAGCCAGATCAGTTCTCAAGAGCTGTGAACCCTGCGCCTCAGTTAGGGGTGGGTGCAGCTGATCGCACGGGTGGTAGACGCAGCAATGTCCATAGCCAATTGTTTTTTGACCCTACAAAAAACAGTAACAAAATTAACTACCTAAATAAAAAAATAAACTTGCTAATAATCTTACAATTTGATCGTAATAGTAGTTGGCTCTCCAGCCCTCCTGTTGCTTGATGAGGGACAGTCCGGCGTTGTTAATGTCACGGCCGACCACCAAACCGATGATACTAATGACGACTAGTATTTGTTTTTGCATTATTTCTATGCGTTTGTAATTATACTAATAATACGATTGTATTATAATTATAACTATTAAGTCAAGAGTTGTTTTGCAGTGTTTTTATATACAATTTGAAATGCGCTATCAGTAAATCAGTGGACCCTTTACAGTGATATGTGACTCGAGTATGTGAATTTTGCTAGATGTTCACTAATTACATAATTAGATAAATAAAGGGACGTATTTGCGTCTTTCAACTCCATAACAAACTTGATTACTTTGATCAGTTTACAAGTTTTAAATTAATAGATAATTACAATTATTAATAATGCATTGTATCGGATTGAAATGTTTTTTGTTCTAAAAATAAAATGTACCGGTGTACAAATGTATTTACTAACAATTGTACAGAAAATTTATTGATTAAATAAACGAATGTCCCAATTATCGTAAATATTTGATATTTCACTATTATTCAAACACAATAAATGATAAATGTAAGAAAAAGTATTGTTATTTAATAATAATAATAATATATTACAGTCTAATCAATGAGGCATTTGAAATCATATAAATCCTGTTCTCATACGATATATCAATGAAAATATTTAATATGATTTCAAAAAACAAATAAATAGATAATAGGAAATAAAAGTTCAGTACCAGTAATCTCAAAAAGCTTTTCCACTCAATACTAATTGATTTCCAAACTGTAATGAACTCTCTCTCTCCCTCTCTCTCTCTCTCTCTCTCTCTCGTTTTTTGAATACTTAGATAATGCAAACAATGATAATTAAAATAACATAATATCTCATCGAAAAGACATTTTGTATGATTTGATAGAATGGAG